TAAAGATCCAGCACCCCAAGAAGAAAAAACAGGAGTCATCTACAACATACAGTGTAAGGACTGTAACAACCACTATGTAGGACAGACAGGCAGAAGGCTTGCAGAGCGCATCCACTCACGGTTCAACTCTGAGCTACACATATTCCCTTCTATTGGGACTAGACTGAGTCATCCCTTAGTCTCTTTCAACTGGTATAGGACATCAGCTGTTTTTCTCAGCCATCTTGTAGTTAATGTGTGATGTAGTTGCCACAAGTGACAGATTCTCTACTTGGCAGAGGTAATTTATTCTCTATTTGGTTGAGTATTTTGGGGGTGGGAGTGGGGCATATAATTTACAGGAAAAAATTAGAAAGCTATTAACAGTTGGCCAAATTTGTTAAGGCAGGGGAGAGCAACGTGAGGTCTGAAGGTAACATACATCTGACCCCCAGATTTCCTTCCCAGGTTGGTGCCTAAATGTGATTTTTAATCTGAAAGAAAAGAAAAAAGGTTAAATATTTTCATCCATCCATCCATGAATGAGACTTACATTCTAACTTTCCTTTAGGGCCTCAAACATAGCAATCCTTCCTCCATTTCACCCTAAGGAAAACAAGGTTCAGTTGAGAGGGCAACTGATCCAAAGTCACCTAGCGAGCTTTCATAGCTGAGGATGATCTTGAACATGGGTTTCCCTGTTCCTCTTCTTTAACTGGCATGTTTATTCAAAGTCATTCACCTTACCAACAACCCAGTTGCCAAAAGGCAATTTGGTATCTAGCCACTCCTACCACAGCACCCATGTTGTGAGAACATTCCAGAACAGTGTTTTTCAATCTTGGCAACTTGGAATTCTGGGAGTTGAAGTCCACCCATCTTCAAGTTGCCAAGGTTGAGAAACACTGCTCCAGACATACAGTATTCTCAACCTTCCAAATGAGCCCTCCAGCATCAAATGTGTGCTGTGAAGATGCATATGAGCCTTAGGGAAAAGGCCTGGATTGAACTTGTAATAAATTATAGATGTGATGGAAGACTTGAGTGAGGAGGTCCAAGGTCATTGGGAGTTGGAGAGGAATCTCAAGCATCTCCTCAGCCTGCAACCTGAGCGTGTGAAAACTAAGAGGATGAGACTGGCACCACCCTAAGGAATTCAGAGTGTTTAGTTGCGGTCATTGGGGTTAGAGTTAGTCTGGC